GGTGGGGGGTGTGGGCGGGGTGACTAAAGACTGTTTTCCTTTGTCTTTGTGATAAAGTTCCTTTCCACTCTGGACAATCTCAAATCCCCCCCCCCCCCCCTTTTTTTTTTTTTTTACAAACAACAAACTATCCTGATCCAGATAAAACCTGAAACACAGTTTCTTAATATTTTCTGGCCCATCAGTCTTCAAAGTGTTTGTTTAGTCCAAAACCCAAAAGATGATTTTTATAAATCTGGAACGTTCTGGAAGTTTTTGTATTTTTTGCTTGAAAACTGAAACAATCAATCAGCGTTCAGTGGTCAGTTAACTAAATGTTTCCGATCGACTCTACTTCAATTATATGGAAATATTGATCATTTCAATCCGTGTTTAATTTGCAGTTATATGATAAACGTCTCAACCAGCGGACGCTAAAAACAGCAGTTTGTGGTTTTAATGGCGGAAAAAACCATCCCGACGACGTGACTTCCCCTTTAAGAGATGAACGGTTTTGCTTCGTCTTCTTTAGTTTCTTCTTTTTGTTTCTCAGCAGAGGAACTGATCTCATGGGAAGGTGTTGGTCACTTTTAAGGACATTCTGCGTCTCATGTCTCCTTATTTGAAGTTTTTCCTGTTTTATTTTTCACAAAACGACTTGGTTAGCTTCAGGACAAAGAGGACGTTTGTTACGTTAACAGAGTTACAGTTCAGTCGTCAGCATAACTAAGTCAACAGTTGACTTTTGGGTCTCCTGAGTGAAAGTCATGGGATTCTTTGACCCATCCGTTTATTTATTTCCGCCATGGACCATGAAAGATATAACAATAGTGCTGCTTAGTACTTGTTATGTAAGTCCCAGATATCCAGAGAAACTAAATGTCGTCATGTCTGGTTCATAACATCATCCTGTTTTCACCTTGTCAGCTGTTTACTACAGCTGTATGAACACAAAATACACAGATTCTGCTGTGATTCAACTGCAATAAACAGACAAAAAATGATGCAGAAATAACAACATGATGCCAATTTGTAAAAACTCTTAATTCATGTTTTATTAGTTCTGACGTTAAAACGACAAGCAAATAACTTTTATAATGTTTGTTTTCTGAATGGAGTTTGGTTTGATCGGTGCTAAGCTAAGCTAACATTGTAGCAGCTCCATCAACACTCAACATAACGTCATCTCAGCGTAAATACGGCAGCATCGTTATTGTTTGTACCGTCTGGTTTATACACATTTATACACATAGTTTCTCTGTACTAATATGAGGTATTCTGGGTGAACACAGACGGACACAATATTTATTTCCTCCATCTTTGATTCAACAACGTCAGTGATGACCGGAGGTGAATCTCAACACTGATTGGCTTTAGAGACCCAGCGAGACCCGAGTTGAAAAACAGACTTCGGCTCGGTTTCCTCTGGTTACCGTCCTGGAAGAGACGAGACGATGTCCTGCGTTAATCCAGGTTCTCACTAAAAGACCCTGGATCACATTTTTTAAGACTTTAGAGCAGGGGTCTTCAACGTTTTTCAGGCCAAGGACCCCCAAACGGAGAGAGAGATGGAGCAGGGACCCCCGACTATATATATTGTATAAAGTTGTGTTTTATATTAAATGGGCCTAGTACCATGTATAAACATACCTCTTTATTGTGCATTCAATACTAAGCTATTCAAATAATACACAGGTTTATATGTTTTTATTTTAAACATGTGCAAGGTACAGTGAGTAGGGGGGCCGTGCCACTGCCATTTATAAACATACCTTGTCAGCTGATACCAATGCCAACATCAACATTGTCTGTCAATTGCATGATAATCATGCATACAAGATATTCACACTGATGTTTTCATTTTAAACATAAATGTGGAAATGAAAATGAGTGATGTCCTATTAGTGCCACTGCCATGCATAAACATACCTGTTATCTTGCATACAATACTGAACTATTAAAATAATGGACACATTCATGTTTAGAGAAAACATTTTTTTAATTTTTTTTTAATTGTCTAATCAACCAAAGATTTCGCGGACCCCCTAGGGGCCGCGTACCCCCTGTTGAAGACCTCTGCTTTAAAGGCTTTCAGGGGGTCTCAAGTGTCAATCAAGGGGTTTCAGACAGTAATCTGGCAGAAAACGTTACTCCTCATTTTAGATGTGTTTTCATACAAAGAGTCCATCAACACGAGTCAATTTCCGCTTGTTACATGCGTACGATCTTTTCCAAATAAACTCAAATAATTGGGTTCAGGAAAAGATCGTAGTTAAAGTTAAAAAAAACGAGTGAAGTTTTGTTACTGAAGATCGGAAGTTACGTGACAAATACATCAACGTTTACAAATTGTCTCTATTTGATGAGATCCGGCCTGGAATCTGGTTTCTTTTCACAGCATGAACTGGAGGAGCAGCTGATGGAGATTTGAGCTTCTTATCGCACATCGACACCAAAAGGGACAAAGAAAAGACAGAAGGAGGGAAGAAAGGAGGAGAAGGGAAAGCGAGATGGAGGTAAAGAGAGGATAGAAAGCAACCACATACATACACGAATCCCTCATGTTTGTAATTAGTTTCATTAATATCCCGTATCGTTGTGATCCCGGGAGGTTCTGTTGCTCTGTGGTAGGATTAAATAATGAAAGTAGGCTGCTCATTGTGAGGACTGGGAGCTTCACAGGGTTGGATTACGGTCACGCTGAGAGGATGAAAAGAAAACATATTCTGAGAAGAAGTCCTGAATGCTTTCTGCTATTTCAACTTGTTTCAATCAGAAATCTGTGAAGTTCAAGTTGTGCAGATTTAGTTTGAATAAAGTTGGTTATAGTGTTTATCTGTGTTACACATGTGGATGTAACCTGCCACAGTATTCTCTGTCTGTAGACTTTGATTAATAAGCTTTGATTATTGGGTGTTTTTCCTCAACGCGCTGTTTGTTGCATCGTTCTCTGAAACACCAGAGGGTCCGAACTAAATGTGAAGAATCAAGAAGACGACGAGTGGAACAGACAAAAAGACACAAACCAACCTCCACAATGACGAGGGGGGGGGGGGGGCTTTAATTATCTGTGAACTCATATTTCATATTCATGAACCTTTATACAAACCCTGTAAAGAAACAAAGTCCAGTATTAAATGTATCATAACCCATAATCACTGCGCTCTATACAGGCTATGCCATTCCTCCTCTGTCCTAATATGGTCACTTCCTGTTCACTGGTTGCCAAAAAAAACCAAGATGGCGACGGCGAAATAAGTGTTTATTTACGTTGCCTTTATTTAGTCCAAATAACTGCTCTTTCTCCAGCCAGCATGTCGCAGTAAGTTTTCAAAGAGACAGAAAACTCAACAATGTTTGACAGTTTGAGTCTTTGATGAAAGAAGATCTGACCTCCTCAACGTCAGAATCCACCTTCAACACAAAACATCTTACACAGATTTAATCTGCAGCATTTACACAAAACACTTTTTTGATGTGATCCACCGATGACGTGACAGAATATAACAGATTACAGTGAGATGACGAATCAAGGAGAGCTGTGAAAGGAAAGATGAGAGAGAGAGAATCTGAGAGGAGGATGAGAGAAAAGAGGAGGGTGGAAGATGATGCAGAGATAAACGGAGAATCTCTTCTTTCTGTTCTGTAATATATATATATATATTTCTGCTGTTTCATGGTGAAGGAGGTCAGCAGGCAGAGGGCCCAGTTCTTCTTCTTCGGGACAATAAAGACGCTCCTCCATCCTCCTCCTCCTCTTCCTCAGTCTTTGTCTGCGTTCCCAGAAGGTGAGACTGAGCCTGAAAGAAGGTTTGTTTCGGGGCGAGGTTTATAAATGGATCAAAGCCTCCTCCGTCCAGATCATCTTCTCACTCATCCTTCTCCAGACGATGCTGCGCGACTCGGACGGAGCGGTGAGTCTTTCTAAGTCTGGCAGCAGTTCAGGTTGGCTCGGAAATAATGCAGTTTAGTCTTAAACCCAAAACCCACTGGTTGGTTTCAGCACTTTTCTATCAAGTAAAAGTTCAACAAACAATTATGTTTCCATAAAGATTTAGAATTCTTCTTTTCCAACTATGTTGTATTTAAATAAGGAATAAATATCTTAATATTTCAGTTAGTTTTTTTGGTCTTAGTCTTGAGTTTATCTATGACCAGATAAGGTTCAATTTGGAAAATGAATCGATATTTTAAAATATGTATTACCTTAATGGATTTAAGTTAAAACAAAAGTGCAGCATTCAGAGAAGAGTTCACACTGAGTCCCTTCACGTGTCTCAGTCTGGCTCAGAAACGGAACCAGCACTGGATGTTAGGATCGAAGGGGAATCCTTTACATCAGAGTCCCCCCCTGTAAGAGACCTGGTTGGGTCCTCGATGGGAACTCAAGGGGGAGCTTCCATGGCCTTGAAGGACTAGATTACTGGATGAGGAATCACACAGAGACACGTAGATACAGGCTCAGACGCTTCCAAAGCACCTTAGCAAAGCAAATCAGCCCGAACGGTGTGAGCTCCATGTGAACACTGGACCCAAAGTCCTGGACCTCGTGGTATTATCTCTAACAAAGTCTTTGTGTCTTTTTACTACTGTATTAGAATTGTGTCTAAAATCCAAGAAGGATTGGAATCTGATTGCTAGCAGGAGTTTAAAAAAGGTGTAAATGCAACTGTAAGTTACACCGGGATGAAATAAAAGCTTCTCCGGTGACTTCCACTCATACGATCATCCAGAAGGCTGTTTGTCTGATCCCCGATCAGTTCAAACCACTAAAGAATCTGTGTCGGGAGTGAAAGCTGTGAAGATGAAACGACTTCAGTCTCGATTCATTCGTGTGTTTGTTTTCGTTTATGGATGAAGCTGTTTAGTTTTCACAGCTAAACTGTTTTTGTTGTAACTGAACTGCTAAAGTGCAGATGTTCTTCTTCTTCTTCTGGTGTTTTTGTCAGTTAGGGTCAATCTTAATTCACGTGAAGCACAAAAAACAAAGACGTATTGTAATCAGATCTGTGATTCTGCAGGAAGAAATGTGACTAAAAGACAGAGTGTTAGATGGATTTGCACATGAGACACTTGTCAGCTGAGGACGTTTCACCTGTTTCAGATCCAAAGAACTTTGTTTTAAAAACATTCTCAGACACAGAGTGTCAGTATTCTGAAATAAAGTAATACGAATGACGTGTAAAGATACAGATCGTTCTCAGTGTTGTTATCTCACCTTCTTGCTCTTGACTCCCATCATCCTCCTCTTCCTCCAGATGTTGTTGTCCTGGCTGCTGGAACTCCTCGTCCTCTCCTCCTTCTGCTCAGCAATGTTTGAAACCGCTGAGAGCAGTGGAGATGACCTCAACACCTACAACATGACTAATTCGTCTGAGTCCTCTGATTCGCCCCCTTGGTTGTCTGACACTCCCATGTCCCACATGGCCCGCATGTCCCACGTAGAACCGTGGCCACCCGGCAACATGAGTGATATGACCGGAGACCCCGACTCGCCGATGTTCCCAATGACGTCCATCTGCGACATGCTGTGGAACTCGCCGGTACCGCCGACCCTCGACCAGATTCCCTTTTTCTGCCTCTGTTCGCACTGCAAGGGCACCGGGGGGCCCAAAGGAGACAGAGGAGACCGGGGCCTTCCGGGTACGTAGACCACTTTAAAACACCTGTTTGGTCCCCGTGTCGTCCAGATGTCAGACTTGTTGGGTTGTGATCACTGCCAGGTGTTGAGGTTCAGGTGATCTCACACAGTGCCTTAAGGACGCAATATCTTTATCGAGAAAGATTCAATCTTGTGTTTAGATGAATAATATTGTGAAGCACAGATTTACTAGATTATGAAACGTGTTTGAAGGTAACAAGACTTGATTTCTCTTCGTAAGATGTTCAATCTGTTTTGAATGCTAAGCTGCTCCTTTGCTGTTAAACTCATCTCTCACACTTCTGTTGAGATAATACTAAATGACTTGTTTTAAGAGTTTAAACTATTAAACCGCGAGTCTCTGTAGGTCATAGATCCATTATAAAGTTCAACCAGTCTGGTTCTCGAAGGAACAATCATAAAAAAAGAGTGCTCTGATGCTGCAAGACATGGATTCATGTGAGCAGAGATTCATTCAGACATCCACTGATGCTGAGGCCAAAAAAGATGAGCAAAATATTCAGATGTCTTAATGCCTTCACATGGAGGGGACTTAAAGAAGGTCATGAACCACTGGTCTCTGCAGGAAAGGCGAGGACTAAGATATAAGTAGTGAAAGAGTCAGTGAAGCAAAGCTCCAACAGCACAAGGCCTGACTGTAATCTGTGATCAGGTGCACCTGGGAGTCCCGGGAGAAGGGGGATGATGGGGTTCCCTGGTCGTCCAGGATTCACAGGCCGTCGAGGGATCAAGGGTGAGTCTCCATCACTTCACTGGTAACTATAAGTGTTGTGTCTGCCCCCCAGACTGAACCTGGAAACTGGTTTCACGACTTATCCTCAATAAAACATGAACTCTGTGTGTCTTCATGAAGGTCACATTGTGTTGCTTTTAATGTATTTGTAATAATATTTCTGTCTCTGTCTGTGGTTACAGGTCAGAAGGGAGACCTCGGGGAGAAAGGGAGTCTCGGCGCTGTCGGTTTCACCGGCGTGAAGGGCCAGCGTGGCTTCAAAGGTCTGCTTCGATCAGTCTTATATGTAAAGGATCACTCTATGTGAAGGGTTACTAGTGTTACATGAAGAGAACTATCACACAGACATCTTGATTTCAAAGGTTAAACTGATCTAACATTGCAATGGTCAAGGTTTGACTGGGTTTAGGCACCAACATGACTGAGGAAGGATCATGGTTTGAGGGACATTCCTCCTCATGGCTGTAACAATCACTTCTTTTTATACACCATAATTCGTAGATATCCCATGAATTTTCTTTCTTCGTATGTTATCAACGCAGTGGTAAACAAGGACGTATAAAGACCGCTAATTCACACCCAGGGCAGGAGGAAGCAGAGGTGGACGGGCCGAACAAGCAGCGTGTTGATGTTGATTTTTTTTGTGTGGTTATTTTAACCGAAACAACGATCTACTCCTAAACCTTACCAAAGTAGTTTTGTTGCCTGAGTTTCCTGTGAAGACAGAAGTTCATTTGAAAAGATTGTGTGCATGTCACAAGCGGAAATTGACACGTTTTGCAGACTTTCGTAGGAAAAATGCACGAAAAATGAGGAGTAAAGCTTTCTCATGTTCATGGACTAGTTTATTACCTTTATACAAGTCAAGTATTAAATGCAATATGAAGAAACAAAGGTTGAATATCCTGTAAACAATTTGATTTGGCTTCAAAACATTTACTCCAATGAAGATTTCATTTCACACACGTGTACCGCGTGTGCAAGTTGCAAAGATCCAGAGGTGCACGACTAAGCGCCGCGACCACTTGTACGCGCCCCACGAGCCGGCCATAATTATGCCAATTTCTGGCACGCGTCTCTCGCCGGCTTCACAACAGCGAGTATAGACTAAGCTTAACTTCTCGTAGGATATCATCGTATGAAGAAACAAGGACCTCCAGTCTCTACAGACTTTGAGGCTCTATATGTCTATAATCTTATCCTCCTTGGCTACCGACAGACACCAGTCAGGGAGTTTTGTCACCTGAATATTAGCATATATTGTACATCAAAATGTAATGCAAATATTCTTGATGTGTGTCTCCAGGAGACAAAGGGGACCAAGGAATGGAAGGCCCACCAGGATCAGAGGGGCCCCAGGGCGAAACTGGTACATGCCCTGCCTCCTGTGAGAGTCTACCAGGCCCCCCTGGGGAACAAGGAGTCCCTGGACCAGCCGGAACCCGGGGTCTTCCTGGGGTCCAGGGACCTATGGCACCCAAGGGTATTATGGGCAATAAGGGCGACATGGGTATGCCCGGTGACTCCGGGATGAACGGCCAGAAGGGTGATCAAGGTGAGCGGGGGTTGTGCGAGTGCACGGATGGGGCAGACGGCTCTGATGGGAATCAGGGAGAACAGGGGGGTAAAGGGGACAAAGGGGACACTGGTGCCCAGGGTGTTCAGGGCTCCGTCGGGCTAAAAGGCAATGAGGGCAGTATGGGTCTCATGGGGCCGCCTGGGCCCTGCTCCCCGGCCATCCAATCAGCATTCTCTGCATCTCTCAACCAGTCATTTCCTGCTGCAAACTGGCCTGTTCCTTTCCAACGCATCCACCTCAACATGCAGGGGCACTTTGACACATTCATAAGCATATACACCGCCCCCATCAACGGCACCTACGTCTTTACCTTCAGCCTGGCCATCAGTGGAAAGCCTCTCAAGGTTGGCCTGTTCCTAAACTTCTCCCCCGTAGTCAAAAAAACAGAAGTGACCATCCCATCCACCATGAGCCACACTGTTGTCCTCCACCTCACCATGGGAGACAGGGTGTGGCTGCAGGTAAGGGACTCCAGCACTAACGGCATGTTCACCGACCGTGAGAGCAGCAGCACCTTCTCAGGGTATCTGATGTACCCCGACTCCTGCCAAATGCCCCGAGGACGAGGATTTCCTAATACCGGACCGACAGTCATGCCGGCATTCAAGCCGCAAGGCTATAAATGGGACAGCCCCACCCCCACCCCCACCACCCATCCACCACAGTAGGCTCCAGTCAGTCGTGTTATAGACGGAGCATCCTCACACACCCAATCACAGTGTCTCTATAACTGCAAGTTTTAAAGGAGGGGTATTCACCTTATGCTGCCCCGCCCATTTCCCCTTCTAGTTCGAATGCATTTGTATTTGTTCTTCCGGTTTAGTGCTAGCAGGGCTGTAAACGGTGTTGATATTTGGGAGCATTCAGCAGCTACACTATGACTATCTGGATGCTTGTTACAGAACCACATCCACCAGCCATCAGTTATTGGGAGGACATCACATGTAAACCGTCTGAAATCACAATTGAGGACATTTTTATTTACTTTGTAGTGTCTCTTGGTGTAGATGGCTCCGCCATGAGGAACTACAAGAATACCAAAGCACATCAGTTCACTCGCTGGTCAGAGACAAAGGGTTGACAAAGGTCCACACACAGAGTTCAAATGTAGTATTATTAACAACCTGTCTGCTGGTTCTTTATTTCATTTATTATTATAATCTTTTAATACCCCATGGTTAAACATGCAGTGGCTACCCTTCTGGCAGTGAGAGTAATATTTATAAAAACAGTCACATGTTCTCTTTGTTTGTGTCTTACACAGCCAGCTGCTCCTCACAGCTCTAAAAACGTTGGTTTAAATGTATTTGGATAAACTGATTACACATTGAGAATCTGTCCCAAAGAACATTTCGGTTATATTCAATAATAAATAGTTTTCCATTTGTGGCGGATTCCGTAGAAAAGCTAATAAAAGTGCTGTTATTACACTGCAACTCATCAAGTCTGTTGCAAGTCATGCGATTGTTTGAATCCCAATGAATCTGCTGATGCTCTGACTTCTCCTCTAGCGCCACCATGAGGTTGACTTTTGTGGTTTTGGGTTTAATATCTCAACAACTGTTGGACGGATTTCCATGAGCTGCGGTTCAGACATTCATGTTCCCCTGAGGATGAATTGCATCATCAGGTCATCTTTTTAGATATTTTGCAGTGTGTGTCCTAATAAACCCAAACCAGCCTGTTGTGTTGGAGTTCTGGAAACCAAACAAAGACTCAAACTATAAGATATTTAAAGAAATGAAAACAAACAACAACAAACAGAGATTAAGCAGGAAAATACCCTCTTTTAAATGTGGAGATAAATTCACTCTCATGATTGAATACTCACTTACAGGTGCCAGCTTGACTAATGCTTTTGATTGGCACTTACTTAATAAATGGCTCGACCGCTGAGCTGGTCGCTGACTGTTACAGTCGCCGTAGAGGTTCAGACCTGCTCTAGATGTTTTAAAAGCACTTTGCATCCTCAGAGTAAATACATTTTTCAGCTTTCTGCAGCGTAGTTTTAGCGATTTTATTTCAGACAAAAGCGACAGAGTCGAGTTTAACAAACTATACAGCAGAGTCAGAAGACCTGCAGCCTTCTCACTGGACACGTGTTCAGTCAACAGTTGTTTCCCGTGTTGATGGAAAGAAGATCAGAAAGTGTTCTTCACATCCTGAATCGGTGTTGGCTAATAAATCCTTAATTTTGCTCTCGCTAGAAACTGCGTTAAAGTCAAAAGAGGCCAAGGAAATACTCGAAACCAGTCCGAGCTGAATCTTATTTTCAAAACGTATTGTTTGGAAAACTTCAGGCCGATCCGTGTTGCCAGATCGGGCTGGTTTCCGCACAAATTGGGTTACTTTTGATTAAGTTGTGCCGGTAGACGAACATTTGGCGGTTGGGTTTGAAAATCTTGTGGAAACAATATTACCAGCTAGCTGTCATTTCATGGTAAAAAAACAAATACAAAATGAATGAAACCTCATTGTGTCCAATCACTCTTATCATTGACTTTAATTTGAGAAAATATTTGATTGACATGACTTGTCATCGTTGGGGATAACGGAGGACCTGATTAGCTTGACGTCACCATCTTTTACATTGACAATTGAGAATTGGTGTATTTGTCTCATTGCACTCTGCAACATTACATCTTTGGTTATTCGATGCAGGTGTAAAGCTTATGATGGGTTTTCTACTGCGCGTGTAATGGTTTTATGGTTTTTTAATGTGTTTCTGACGAGGTCATGATTTGGGGTTTTACTGAATTGAAGATGTGATTGGCAGGAGATTGTCAATCTGATGATTGCACTCTGTTTTAAGGCTGTTTCCAGCAGATCAGTTCATCTCCATGATCTCAACAGTATTGGTAGTGAGTATTATATTGGCAGCCAAAATGGCTTTAGTGGCTATAGTTGGTCCAAGGCTTTACGCCCAATGCCTAGCCAAATCTAACAGCCAAATCCGGCTCTTATTGAATCTTCTTCGGTGCCAGAACACGGCCGGCATTCAGCCACAAGTGACGATATTCATAAGACAGAATTCTCCGTGTGAGATTACAAGTACGAAAACATTATGTCATCGAGCACTTTGGTTTAAAGAGTCAAGAATCACCAATTTGTACTCAAATAAATCTGGCAAAGTATAGAGCGCTCGAATTAGCAGCGGAGATCGTAATGGGAATTTTGATTATTTTGATAGAAGATGTAAATATGTGAATCGGCATCGTGCGTTAGAACGAAATCAGGAAGAGTTTGTTGAGACAGAGGTTTGATTAGAATGTTTAACCAGCAGGTGATCAGGTGACGCTGTGAAGGAAAGAAGATGGTGGAGAAACAAAGTCATGAACAGTTCATCCAGTTTAAATTCATAAAAGTCTTGTTCAAAGGAAGAAAGTAGCTGGTGGAGTGAGAGCGTTTCACCTGTTTCTAATAGAAGCCGGTGCAGATACGCAGCCAGACTGGGATCAAGTGGAATTATCTCGTTTACATCATATGACATATATACAACTTTTATTATTTTTACTTTTATCAATCAAAGAAAAAGCTTTGGTTTACATGAAAACCAATGATTCATAAAACTCCTTGTGGTGAATTACAAACATCAAAAAAGAAGCTTCGACACCTCCAGTGTTTTCTGGACACGTGATTGGACGATACAGAGACGATCGGACTGAAGCATCATCTTCAGTGTGACAGCGGTCGTGTCGTTGTGTGTCACACGCTGTTGTTGTGGTTTTTGTCTGAAATTAAAAGATTCTCCTGAGGGTTTCTTTGTCTGTTTCTTCAGCAGACTTTAATGTTCTGCATCATTCATATAATATCAGATCATCTTATTCTCTTCTCCTCTTCTTGACTTTACTGCTGTGGGACCAAACATTGCCTATCTGTATGTGAGATCCATAGTTCTGGATTCCTGATAAATGTCTCTTTATTTTCTAGATCAGGTGCAGGGTTCAGAGTGACCTGCACACCTGTGTACTAATGAAGCTGTTTGATCGGCGTGTTGATTGGTGGAGGGATTATCTTGGCTCACTGACACAGATTTGAATAAACGTGTGGACAGAATTTGAGAGAAATAAACCTTTTGTGTGCGTAGAACAAAAATATACTAAAGTATTTTATTTTATTTGAAGATTTTTGTCTTCAGTAGGAACCGAGGAAGTAAGAAAGTATTTAGAGATAAAGTCAAGAATAATGATGACACCAGACGTGTCTTCTTTAAACTAAATCTTTAAAGGGGAGACACCACTTCTAAACAGGGTTAAACATGTAACTGATATCAGCATGAAACTTCACCACTTCATTACTGACATTAAGACATAGTCTTTTTAAATGTTATGTTTAAATATGCAAATGAGGCATTATGTAATGTAACTTTTGGTGAATTGAATGAATGAAGTAAACAGTCAAAGTAGTAAAATCGATGTTTTCTTTCCACTCGTCTGAAAGAAGACGAGTTATAGAAGCAAAATATCGCAGGGCATGAAAAATCAATGCATTACACCAAGAAAGAGCCGCTCAGTGCATGAACGAAACAATCATCTTTTATTGTCACAGAGTTCAAACTGTACAGTCGCACATCACATCCAGATAACGCTGAGCTTTCACAGAGTTATAAATGCTGCTGCTGGACATCTGAAGCCTGCAGCGACACGACCGACGAGTCTTTACATTCTGAACTCAGAGAATCTGATAATCACTCTCACAAAAAACTCAAAGCGCTGTTGTGAGCTCAGGTCAAACATAATTAAACTTCGGCTTCAACTAAACCAACTTCTTTTGCCTTCTTCAGCCTCACAAAGTCCACTTGTCAGGTTGTAGAAAAGGCACAGACTAATGTTATCGATACTTCAGATCTAAAAATGCAGTTGAAAGTCACAAATGACCTGCATTACTGAGAAAGCACAAAAATAAATCTTCTTGCCAAAGACTTTACAAAGATTCATCAGGTATTCTATTCAAGGACCATAGCGGTGGTTTTGCATGTTAGCCGAGAGAAATCATCTTTAAATGCAATTTAACAACAGTATTAAATGTTTACGTCAATATTTATTCGCTTCAAGACTCAATATTACTATTCAGAACATATTCAGACACTGCAGTCTGCCAACAAGTCGGCACATATGGACCTTGTATAATAACCCGGTCGCCAGAAAGTGTTGGCATTATAAGTATTCTGCAAACCAAAGGACACATTGAATGTTGACGTTTCAGAACCACAAATACGTTTAATAAATGTATGTTTCATATCAGTCTGGTGTCCTGCTTGCACACAATGTCACATGGTTAACGTTGTGAAATGATTGTTTAGGTTTATACAACACAACAATTTGGTTATGGTTCGAAAGAAAAGATCATGATTCGTATTAAAATATAATAATACAACATAACAACTTAATGCAACAACGTCAAGTACAAACGTCAAGTAACAACTGTAACATAGTAAGTACCATAAATAACCAACGATGACCCTTAGTGGACTTCCTTATGTAAGGAAACATAGCAAGCATAAAGTCAATGCACTTTTCGTTTCACACGGGACACTAACGGTGGTCTCCTGGGTGAAAGGCTTGTGTTATTTGACCCATTTTGACCTAAGTGGACCTTCTCACTTGTTTAACTTATTATTTCACCACGTAACTTTCAAAAATGGTGCTCAATTCACTGCGTCACTTGC